ACAACCCTATCAAGGTCACCTGTGCTGTATTCCTCTCACTTACCTCCCCCACTCACCTACCTGAACTAATTGACACTACAAACTACCAATAAATGAACGTGGTGGAGGAATTTATGATCACACGACAGACAGACAGACAGACAGACAGACAGACAGACAGACAGACAGACAGACAGACAGGTATAAACAGAACCGTCGTGTGAAGTGAAAGCTTGTTTATTTTACCTCTCCCTTCCCTTCCCTTCCTCTCTCTCCCTCTCTCCCTCTCTCTCTCTTTCAAACCATAAAGAACAGAAACACTACACTGCCTCTCTTTACTTTAAAACATAAAGTAAACACAAAACTCAATAACCGTCAATCACGTTTTAAAGCATAATTACTTAATTATCTATATCATTTTTTGTCCATTCTCAATTATTTTTTCCCCGTCTGATGTTAATTAAAATACAAAATCAACATTCATAGCTAGTACTAAAATATATACATTATCTACTGTATATACATTGCTTACAAAAACAAGTGACATATTGATGATAAATGAACGTGTAGTAAGGCTAAGAATCACTTAATTATACATATAACCTATTCAAGATTTCCGCTATACATATACAATTATACATATAACCTATTCATAATTTCCTCTATGATATATGACACTATACCTCTTTTAATTTTCCACAGAGGGCTAGGTATATCTGTAAGGCCTACCAAGTAAGTTACTGCTCTTGGCTTTACTGTACTTCCCACCGTCAGTACAAGCAACGCAATTTGTACTGTGCCTGGCCGACTCTCGCTTCTGTGCACCAGCCTAATGTTAATTAACTCTCTACTGTATATATTATCTCTTTTATCATGTACTGTAGTTAAGTAGATAGATTAGTAGATTCAGATGTACTGTAGATGTTAACCCATCCATAGGAACGGTCTTTCAAATTGGAAAACTTGAAATGACTTTTTTGTTCACTCGCTCGTCTCTCTCTCTCTCTCTCTCTCTCTCTCTCTCTCTCTCTCTCTCTCTCTCTCTCTCTCTCCAGGTTATCTGAAGTACAAAACTTATTTGATTACAGTTTTTCTTCTGCATTCTTTATCGTGTTATGTCAACAATACGTCGTAGTCCAACTGATAACATGCACTTCCATCACCGAAATTGTATAATGTTGGAAAGGTACCACGAATGGGAGAGCTAAATCATATTATTATTATTATTATTATTATTGGTACTCTTATTATCATGATTATTACGATTAATTTGGCCAAAAGTACCTTACAAATGAAGTCTCTACCAGCTCTGTTCGTCGTACTCTTCCAACATGATACTCTCCTCCACCGTAATACATACAGTATGATGTTAGTTTTACACGAACCTATTTGGTGTTCTTCTCACTGTTAAAGTATTCTGAGGTGTAATAATTATATGCATCACACACACACACACACACACACACACACACACACACACACGCACGCATCGCACGCACACACACACACACACACACACACAATAATATTTTACACCTTCATGTTAACATCTAAAAAATAACACCTGGCATAATGGTCGATCCTCGTTCGATAAGGGCGAGTGGGGGTGACCTCCGGGAGATGTCAGCCCGGGGGTCATCAACGGGGAGGGGGGCGGTGTGGAAAGTTTTTAGCCATTATTAAGGTCAATTAGGCATTAGGTGCGTGAGGAAGGCAGTCAAGTCGATGACCTAATGAGACCTGCTGTGCCTCCCTCCACGGCAGGAGTCTCACCATCCACTCATCCTTAACTACTAACAACAACACTAACCATGAGGTAGTTAGTGATGCTTCGCCCCACTTAACTCAACCTAACCTAACCTAACCTACAGTAACCCAACCTTAAAGTAACTCAGGTAAACATATTCTCACCTGTACAATTAAGTGGGAAAAATTAATCAACTAACCTTTGAGAATTTACCTTTGGATCAGAGCTTAAGTGAGTCAGTTGAGTCTAATGGAGGAAAGGGAGGAGTCTAATGGAGGAAAGGGAGGAGTCTAATGGAGGAAAGGGAGGAGTCTAATGGAGGAAAGGGAGGAGTCTAATGGAGGAAAAGGAGGAGTCTAATGGAGGAAAGGGAGGAGTCTAATGGAGGAAAGGGAGGAGTCTAATGGAGGAAAGGGAGGAGTCTAATGGAGGAAAGGGAGGAGTCTAATGGAGGAAAGGGAGGAGTCGACCTTTTGTGACCCGTGTGTTAGGTTATTCTGGGTCTAAGGTAGACCAATTACCTCACACGGGGATAAACACGGAACAAGAGCGGTGTGTAACGAGGCGACAGTCTAACAACTGGTGATTATACCATGTTGGAGAGAGAGAGAGAGAGAGAGAGAGAGAGAGAGAGAGAGAGAGAGAGAGATATATTCAGACAGAGAGAGAGAGAAAGAGAGAGAGGAAGGGAGAGAGATAAAGAGAGGGAGGGAAGATAAATAAGAGGGAAGAAGGGAGACGATTATTAAATAGTGTCTCAAAATAATCCTCCTTGGAACCTCTCTCTCTCTCTCTCTCTCTCTCCCTCTCTATCTCTGTCTTCTATCCTTCCGTTACATAAAAAAACCCAAGACTCAGAGGCAGGTAACCACAGTCGCTGCCATACAAGGATCACATATCGCCTTCCCCACTCTACACCCTCAGTCCACGATAACTGGCCCTGAGGTAAAAGATGTGAGCCTAACTTAAGCTAAAACACAGCAGCTAAAACACAACAGCTAAACTTATGGTCTTGAAATATCATCAACACACTTAGTTCATTTATATTATTATTATTTTTTCCTTTAGCTTAATTCACCCCAAATATTACGTGGTTACCATATGTACCAAAGTAACACTCGAGAAAAAAAAAGATTTCATTAATAACTTAAGTAAATGTGTATTATTATCCATATTAACTGAGGCAATTCGACCTGTTGAAGTTTATGATAAAATTAAATCAAATAAATCCGGATTCAACCTCGCACTTACACGAACATAACATTGAGAATCCGGATGGAGTGATGCGCTATTATGGTGACCTAGTTTCATCTTCACCTCACATATGCAGTATACTGAAGACTACGGTAATATATTATTAAAAAGGCGTGGAATTCCTTGTATCTATTTCAAATATCATTCGACTATCATTTAATCCACTGAGTACGATGATTTAACCTAATGAGTACAGTGCTATTGTACTCAAGATGATTAGCCATCATATTGAAAGGTTTAAGACATAGTACTCAATGGGCGAATTCACAGTACTCAGGAAAAACCACCGTACTCATGGGTTAAATCGTCTTACTCAATGGTTGGACTCATAGTACTCTGGAGAAAGGCATCGTACTCAAGGGATTTAGCAACAATGCTTCTAACTGAATCATTTAAACTACTACTAAAATATATAGATCAAAACACCTGGTGACAAAGGGGAGGGGGAGGGGGGAAGGGGATGGTGGGAGGGGAGGTGAGAAGGGGATGGTGGAGGGAGGAGAGGACGGGGAGGGAATGGAGGGGAAGGATGAGGGAGGGGATGGAGGGAAGGATGGAGGGGAGGGAATGGAGGGGAGAGGGGAATGGAGGGGAGAGGGGGATGGAGGGAGAGGGAAATGGAGGGGAGAGGTGATGGAGGGAGAAGCAGGAGGAGGGGGCGTATGAGAGCGCTTAACAGACCTCGCCTTGTTGATACTGATGCCGTTTTATCGCAAGATCTAATATATATACGCAGTGATTTTCAAGGCAACTTTACCCTTTAAAAGAGAATATACCTCCATCCTTACTGTAATAAAACTCTTAATATTCATCTAAGTAACCCATATACAACTGTACTTTTATTTGTATACGTATTAACAGAGGGTCACAGTAGAGTGTAAAAATAGGCTAGTCTGTGTTGCAGTTGTGCGAGTCATAGAGAACGGAGGGGAAGGGTAAACTATGGTAAACCGTGAATAATGTATTAGTCAGAACCCTACCACGATCCCTCCCCTGGTGTGAAGGTGAGGGGGTGGTGGTGGCGAGGGTGGTGATAGTGATGATGGTGAGTAGTGATGGTGGTGATGGTGATAACAGAAGCAGGTCAGTAGTGTTGTGTAAGTACTGTATATGAAACCCGGATGAATATAACCGGAGACTTCAACAACGTCTCCCGGGTGACTAGTTAAGGACAGACAGACTTGATAACACAATGCTCACGAACACTTCACTGAGATCTTCATGGATAATTACTGTATTTCTTTCAATTCTTCTTTTATTGTTATTATCATTATTACTATTATTATATTATTGATATAACTATTATGACTTATTATTGTTACTGTCATCTTTATTATTTGTCTTCGTATACAAATTCTAACTTACGATATACTGACTTTATTACGATTATGGTGGTGTTGATGAAGAGCCTGGGGTATCACAAGGAATCTGCAGTCTATTGGCACGTAACGGTGAGTGCGAGTGATGAGACAAGGCAGGGCTAGAGACGTAACGGGTGAGGGCGAGTGATGAGACAAGGCAGGGCTAGAGACCACCTGTAGCTGACTCACACTTCACTCTGAGTCACTTCCATTACGCTCGCTGAGGTGCCCACATACTCCCAGATTTCATAATTAAATTCATAAAATGATTAAAACAAAAATATCTTGCTGTGAGTTATACATAAGAAAATTAATAATCCACGTAATGAATATAGATGTGGATAAGTGGTAGAAGTAACTTTGGCACGTATGGTGGTGAGCGGTTAAGGAAGCGTGCGTATAACCCCCTCCAGCCTCCCGGAACTCGACAATATTTTCCCAGAAGTTAGATCACACCATCGACCTTGTGCTCCTCTCAGAGAGCCTTGACCCGCCACGACTGACTGCTGAGGACACCAGTTATTCTTCCTCCTCCCCAATACTGTCTCAGCGTCCCATAATACCACAATGAACACGTTAGGAGCGAGTAAGGTGTATTTGACCATGACTTTCACACTTCAATGTATTTATTATTAGCCACAATTTATTTTTATTCTCAGATGTCGGATCAAGAGGCCGGAGCGAAGGAAGTAAAGGAGGTGAAGGAAGTAAAGGAGGTGAAGGACGTAAAGGAGACGAAGGAAGCGAAGGAAACGGAGCAGAAAGAGGATAAGAAGGAGTGTGAGGAGAGGTCAAACAGCAGAGCATCGACAGGCACCAGTACACCTGAACCAAAGTCCAGGAGAATGGTGACGAGGCACCTGGTGAGTCATGTAGGGTTATTACAGGTCAGGTAGGGTTATTACAGGTCATGTAGGGTTATTACAGGTCATGTAGGGTTATTACAGGTCATGTAGGGTTATTACAGGTCTTACGAGGGTTATTACAGGTCATACGAGGGTTATTACAGGTCATGTAGGTTGATGGCAGGTCTTACGAGGGTTAAGGTCATGTAGGGTTATTACAGGTCAGGTAGGGTTGTTACAGGTCATACGAGGGTTATTACAGGTCATGTAGGGTTATTACAGGTCATGTAGGGTTATTACAGGTCATTTAGGGTTATTACAGGTCATACGAGGGTTATTACAGGTCATACGAGGGTTATTACAGAACATGTAGGGTTATTTAAGGTCATGTAGGGTTATTTCAGGTCATGTAGGGTTATTACAGGTCATGTAGGGTTATTATAGGTCATAAGAAGGTTATTTCAGGTCTTACGGGGATTATTACAGGTCATGCAGGGCTTTTACAGGTCACATAAAGTGTAACAGGTTAATTAGTAAGAGACAGGTTGTTACAGGTGGCGGAGGAGTATTAAGATAGGTAGGTTGCTACAGGTCACGGAAGTGTTAAGAGAGCGGATTACAGGTCACAATATTATAAAGTTATCAGGTACTACAAAGTCTTGGCAGGTCACAGGGAATTATTAGCAGGTTACAGGTAACGAGAAGGTTTTTAGCAGGTCACAAGATGGTTTTAGCAGGTTACAGGTCACGAGAAGGTTTTAGCAGGTTACAGATCACAAGAAGGTTTTAACAGGTTACAGGTCACGATAGGTTTTAGCAGGTTACAGATCACAAGAAGGTTTTAACAGGTTACAGGTCACAAGAAGGTTTTAGCAGGTTACAGGTCACAAGAAGGTTTTAGCAGGTTACAGGTCACGAGAAGGTTTTAGCAGATTACAGGTCACAGGAATTATTATTATTATTATTATTATTATTATTATTACACAAACAAAATATGTCCATACCCTGACAAAATTTTCAAGTACGTAGGCTGTGTGTTGACGTAGGATACCCAAGTTCTCTTAAAAAACAAAAATGTCTAAGTGTGTTGGGTTTAGGCAGTTACCAATTGATCGAGGGAGTGAGAGGAAGACAGACAATGATAATATATAAAGAAATAGTAAAGGAGGAGGAAGATATTAAAAAAAAGATTCAGAAATATTGGAATAACACTTGATAGCAGATGATCCTCCCCCCACCTCCCTCTATCTGTCAAGTGTAAACCAAACTAAGTGATATGCGTTTACCACCCAAGCAACAGGTATAAACAATTAACTATTTTCACAAATGCACGTGTTATACCCATAGCCAAGACTTAAAACACTCTCTAAACAGGTACCCCCAAGAGCCTAACGCTACGTGAGCAGTTCCGTAACTTCAGTAAGTTTGGTGATACGAAGAGTGACGGCAAGATGATCACTCTGTCTCAGGCGGATAAGTGGTTCAAACAGGCGAGAGTGATAGACGGCAAGACTCTCTCTACCACCGACACCGCTATTACTTTCAACAGATTTAAGTGAGTAAATAGACCTAAGGGGAGATGCTGAGAGAGATAGAGACTTAAGGAGATACATAGATAGGTAGATTAAGATTAATAACATGAAAGAAATTAAGAGATAGTGACAAAGTAAGGAAAGAGAGAATTAAATTAAAATGAGATAAAAAAAATATAGAGTAGAGAAAGGTGCAGTATAATCAGTGAATCCAAATCAAGTCTCTAATTACAAGTGTCACTCATAAACCAAACACGTAAGTATACCCGAGAGAGACACGCTGATGTTGCAGTTTTCTTTGAACACTTGGTAAGAACTCGCATCTATTTACGGATGACTGGTTTATATCTAATAACGCTGCTATTAATCACGTCAACACAAATTGAGAAAACCACAACAGTTTATCTTGTGTACTAAATAAAATTATCTAGCGTTAACTAAATGAGATATCGAAAGTGTCGTCCCCGCAGTGAAGGGATTAATACAATGAAGTGAAAAATAATAAATAATTCGGGGAAATAAATTAAAATACGAATTCCTCTCACTTTATGATCTTAAACTACTTACTGTACATGTCTCCTGAAGATGTAAATGGATTGTATTACCCCGATCATTCAACTCTTTTGTATATTATCGGTGAATGTTTTATTGAGTGAACGATTCAGGTAACTCATTTTTTTACATAAAGTGTTATTTGTGTTATTAATAGTTGTTTTGTTCCTCAGGTCAAAGAAGGTAACATTTACCGACTTTGAGAAGTACTTGGATGAGATCGCCAAAGCTAAAAAATTGGATTCGAAAGATATTAAGGCGAAGCTGAAAGACTGTGGAGCTCCAGGGACCTCGGGCACCACGGTATGTTTAGTCAAGCTGCTCAGTGCAACATAGAGGAGACAGTCTTTAGTTTTATGGTCTTAATAGTTCATTGTTAATTAAGTCAATCAAGTCATGAAATAATATTCATAAACAAAGTGTCATTATAATATTTAATCACTTAAAAATGGACGATAATAATGAAAATGTCCCAGACGCAGTTGTGACTCCATCTTCAAATGTCAACAGAGTGTGGTGAGAAGCAGTGCCGTCGACCGTCTCACTGACACCAAAAAGTTTACTGGCTCACACAAACTACGCTTCGACGCCACCGGCCGAGGGAAGGGAATCTCTGGCCGCAAGGATGCAGCTGATACTTCCGGTTACGTGTCTGGCTACAAGAATAAGAACACCTACGACAAGAGCCATTAAAACATTCACAAGACAACGAAAAACTAAAGAGAGAGAAGCCATAGAAAAAGACCCACCGATGCCGGGATCTATTACGCACCACAAACTGTTTTTTGGTCATTATGGTACGCGAACTACAAAGACATTGCTCTTTTGAAACTCCTTAACATTAATGAATGAAACAGTTGGAATTTTGAGTTGCTTTCCATGTACGGTTTGGGGTCCCAGTTTAACTTAACCAATTGACCTCGTATTAAAATTTATATTTATTAATTCAACCACCTGTATGACACATTGTTTACATACAGTAGACTACATTTCTCTACAAATTTACTTGCATTACTTTTTGAGTTGATATATCGCCACATATTACGCATTTTTTGCCACTGTAAAATACATATTTCTAAAAATTACCATAAGCCTTATAACCTTTGTAAACAGAACTCAAAAACCAAATTTCACCATAGTTCAAAAAGTTCCCCTTACGTATTATAATTAGCACGAGTAATAATACTGAACGTTTCTTTTGTCACAATTTTTAATAACAAATAAGGTTCAGCCAGTAATGTTTTCAGGTAATTTATCTTTTAAGGTTGAAGTTACGTTCATTAGTGTCGTGTGAGGAGCGGCAGCACGAGTGGTTGAAGGACAAACACTGTATCATTTGTTGACGCCAGGACAACATTCAGCAGTGCTTCTTTAAATACTGTAGTTCAGTGTTATATCAGGGTGTGACGGTACAAAACCATTCTTGACTACTATAATGTTTGGCTCTTAAAAGAAAGGAAACAATATCTAGTTGGGGCCGGAGTGAAAGCCTCGTTAACTGCCGAAAGTCACAGGAAAGTATTGAAAAAGTCACCTAACCTAACCTCGCCAAATTAAGTGACTTTTTCTTCTATTACTTTTTTTGTGACTTTCTTCTCGGTCGCCCAGCCAGGATACGAGGATCCATCTGTCAATGTCTGTCTCGGAAGCGTGGACTAGTGACCGCAATTGTCTTTGGTTTCAGTTTAACATGGTGTGTTCTTACATGTAACTGTGTGGGATTTCATACTATATTTGCCATTACAAGGTGCCTACACGTAATTTTTCCATGAAGATTTTCTTAAGCATTAGTTTAGAGTATATGCTATATTCCATAGTATACTTAAAGACCCTCAATGCTGTCATATACACATAAACAGTATATGGTCGTGCAGTATAAGGCGAGTTAAGAAGAATCCCACATTGTTACGAATATCATTGTACATTATTTAGCGTATCATGTGCACAAGTTTCCTCACTGCATAAAAAAAAATCGGCTTAAAACTGAAAGAGACAGAAATTTTGACTTTCTCTCCTGTCAGTCGTCAAGCTTTGGTGTGTGCATATTTCAATTCTGTAAATGTAATGTAGTTTTGAAGCTGTGTTTTACCAAGAACACGAAAAATTGGAATAAGATAAATCTGGTGGGTCATAAAGCCATTTGCACCAATAATTTTGTCGGCAACAGCGTAGTACTTACAGGCCAGAGGAATTGATATTTGAAGTAAACATTCAATATTTTCAAAGACACTCTTTAATGTTTATGGTCAACAATTGGCAAAGTATGAAGTTGTCATCATATATTTAAAGTCTAGTTACGTATAAACTTACTCTGTGTATCGCATCTTATATAATGTTAGAAAAGAATCAAACCCGCAGTTAAAAGAAATCATTTTAAGCATCAAGTGATAACAGTGCAAATAACCTTAGAATCTGTAGCAGCTATAACAGAAACAGGTGAAACTGTACTTGCATGTAATATACACTTCACTGCCCGTTACTTCACTACCTACTCAAGAGTCACACAAACTCCAGTACAACAACACTTGCCATTAACTATCATAATACGGCACTGGGTCAGTTGTTACCTCGTAGAGTTCATATATAATTCACCCTACCAACCACAACACCTCCTGACCATACGGTACTTTTTATCGAGTTGACAGTTCGGTTTCCTGGAGTGGACTAATTCCTTTGTTATATAAAAGTTTGTTTGTTATTATATATTGATAAAATGCTTTACTGTATTTTATTTTACAGGAGAATTTGGATATGATGAAGAGACCGATTGTGAATTTTGCCTCTAGAGCACTGTACTCCGCGAAATATTTAATCCTGGCTTCCTCTCGCCTAGCTAAGGCTGCTCCGTGAAACCTTTGCCTTACTAAATTCTAATGCTATTTTCCTCGCTTCTGTGGGTAAGTTAACGAGTTAAACAGACATGTGTTGACTTAACATCACTATATACTGTAGGCTCTATCTCACTGACCCTTCGTTATACACTGTATGCACTAACGAGATCTCCCAAAACAATATTGAAACAAAAGGTCGTGCTTAAAATGATGGGCGTGAACAGAGAGAAACACAACACTAACTGTACTGTAATTAACTTACTTCTGTAACTGCACAAATAGCCCCATCGAGATGGTCAGGGCAGTAGCCTCGCTCACAAACTCTGCACCACTACCACGTTCACCGCCTCATGCTTCACCGCATCATCCCCAGTTCTCCTGTTGCCATAGTCTGGTGAATGTGTAAGGGCCTTAGTTTACAACGGATAACAAAACACAAATATTGTGATATACATATGATCTCATTTCTCTTTTTATTGCATTTGCACATTCTAATATGTATTGGCTATAGAGTAGAAACTTCTCATCTCCCAGGGCAGAGATTGTCAACATATTTTTACTTGCTAGGCTACAGTAGTTGAGTGTGGTAGAGGTGTAGGCTGGCTGCAGTGATTGCCAACACAACCATCATGTATGATATTTTTGCACTCGGTCATCACTGCTAGCTGTTGTCACTTAAATCTTTTGTTCATCTGTGTAATATTTTCCATTTAGAACCATGTTGCAAATTATAATTACATAAATATATAAATGTAGCTGAAAAACAGACGTGTAATAAAAGATTTAGTCTCACTCGTCAATTTTATTCTCATTTTCTCGGACACACTTAGCACACCTAAGAGTTATTATTTAGGTTAGGTTCGGTAAATTTTAGTCAGAAAATGAAATGTTGGCTTAAAAAATTGCCGGTAGAGATGGCTGGTCTTGAGCTACCCACCATCACACACAACCAAGACGGTAACTAGGCCGAATTACGCTACATTACCTACCAACCATCAAGCAATACTAACAACTCCTCCAGAACACCTGTATGACTTACTAATGACTACAAGACGTCAACACAAACTTACCAGATTACAATAACAAAACAAAAACATTCAAAGTTGGTGATGCTGTAGTAGTGTTTTAAGCCTAGTTACTTTAGTTAAGGGAATTATTTAGTGATTTAAATATATTGTGTTAGTGGAGGAAGGTGTTAAGAATGAATTGAAGTTATGAAGAAAGTCGAAGGTTGATCATTATATAGGAATACAAGAATAATTATATACTACAGAATGAGACAGAAGTATACTGAAGTTACGTATACATAAGAAAATTAGTTTAGTGAATTTATGCAGGAGAGGAAGGAAAATCATGCTGTGATACTGATGTGTTCGTACTGAAGGAATGTATATGGACTGTACTGAAATAACTGATGGAATGAATAGGAGTTATTCAAAATTCTACTCAAGTTGTTTAGGGATGAGTGATTGACCTACTGACTGTTCTGAAGTTGCTACCTTGTTTATCACGGGTATACTTGACGATTTCATGGCATTAAACCTCGAATTCTGTATCTGTCCAGTTTAAACTTCAGTCTTTCGTGAGGTACAGTCAGGGAATGTTCCGCTCTAGACACCCAGCGACAAGTTCGAACCTGGATGTGAGATCTATGGTTGTGAAGCAGTGGCCAGACCCTCACCAATCTGGCGACTGTGTGTTAGTGGGATGCAGGAGGGATGCAGGGGAGGAGAGGGCAGGGAAGGAGAGGGCAGGGGAGGAGAGGGCAGGGGAGGAGAGGGCAGGGGAGGAGAGGGCAGGGGAGAGGGGGCAGGGGAGGAGAGGGCAGGGGACGACAGGGGAGTGGGGGACTCTGTCAAGGTTAGTCGTCTGAGAGTTGAGACTTGAGAGGCACAGTGTGGCTGGCGGAGGAGAAATAACACCAAGTACGGCGCACGTTTGACACATATTAAATATAAACTCTAAACTGAAATATCTGGAAAGGAAAAAAAATAACCTAACACGTACAGTATACACAGGACATTATTTGAGAATTAATATAAAGATAAAATCGATAAAACTAGTTTTCCTAAGGCATGGAAGACAAGTGGTAAATATATCAACATGTTCAGTATGTACCACAGTGTATGTAATGTGGTACAGGGTGATTATATATCTTTAAGTATCTTTTAACAATACACAGTTGGGATTATCCAGCAATTGTTTACTTTGTGGACGGTCAATAGATGGCGCCGCTGTTTGACCGCATAATTTATACCAAGGAATAACACTATTATGTAATTTAAATATTAAGACAACAGTATGTACGATAATATATTTTATCAATGAAACGCAATACACTGTACCATAATTTACATAAATTAGCTGTAATTATAATAAAACACTACGAGGAATAATTTAAATTAATAATTTCTATAAAACTCCCGCCAGTTTATTGATAATGTTGATCGACCTCCCCCAGTCTTTAACATTACCGTATCACCTTCACAGATTAAAGTATTATGAAATCACTGCTGTAAGTCCCCAGTGACAAGAAAATGGCTTGTGTTAATCCTATATTAAAAAAGGGGCGGTCGTCACTCCACAAATAACTATAGACCAGTGAGCCTGACCTGTAAAGTACTTGAGTGCATTATAAGAGAAGCCATGGTGGAACATCTACTACGAAACAACCTTGTAAAGGATTGCCAACACTGTTTTATGCCGGGGCGCTCCTGCTTAACACAATTACTGGATATTTGGACCCATATTCTGGAACCGGGTGGTAATATCGACAATATATACCTAGATTTTGCCAAGGCTTTCAACAGTGTACCCCATGAAAGGCTGAAAATTAAACTGGAAGGGTACGGGATTCGGGGA